ACACCCTGACTCTCAGGGTGCAAGTCTGGACCTTCAGGGCCTGTTCACAATGAATTAGAAGACCTAGCTTATATACACTAACTCCATGGGAACTCTCACTGATTATGATCAGATAAACAGACTAACCCCCCCCCCCCCCTTTTGTCTCCAACATCCAGAATCACCAGGTTTACTATATTGTACTCAATGCCATGATGTATTTGATGTGTTAAGTTTAGACAAAATAAATACATGTATTGTGTTTCTTTACATTTGAATTCAATTCTCATGTTTCAGCTAGTTGATACCAACAGTAAGAATTGTAAAGAATCCTAACACTAAAGAGATAGATAAGATTGGAATCTCAGTAAAATAATTATGACTTTAATACACACATGAAACATGCACATGTGCACACACACATACACACACATTACCACATGCACACACACACACACATGTACATGCACACTATGTTGTACAGTATGTCTGGCCTTCGACAGTCTTAAGAAGATACTTTATCTTCAGAAAAAATTAATGCTCTTGCTGTGTAATTATTGAACACACTTGGTATTCCTTAAAATTCAATTCTGTTCTTTCAGGTGATACCAAAGAAGAGAACAATGTAGCAATTGTTAAGACCCTAAGTATTGAGAAGCTAGGTAAGGTTAGAATTTCAGTAAAATAATTATGAATTAAAAATTTTTTTTTAAATATACTTTTGAAACAGGTGTGGACATATACACTAACAAACCCACATACACACACATTCATTACACACATGTTGTTCAAGCAAAGTCTGGTCTGTAGTATACTTAAAGGGATAATAACTCTTCGTTTCGGCTAAACAATGAATTTTCCTGGAGTAAACAACAATTTTCCCATACTTACCAATGGTTAATGAATCCATTTTTACATTCAAAGTTTGTCCCTGGTTTTTTTTCTAAAAAGTTTGTTTTTTTGTTAAAATCTCTTAAGAGTATAGCCATCACGTGGTCTAAAGACAAGCTCAGATATCAGAATAATAGCTATAACTGCAGTTTTTGTGGTAAAACAGAATATATTATATTTCTATGAGTTATTCACAATGTTTTTAAGAAATTTTATTTATTTTTAAGTCAATTAAATATTTGAATGTGTCTTCAACAAATTGTAATACTGAATCCTAATTGAACATGCACAGATATAGAATGTTAAGTTTTTATTTGAAATCATTTTTTCTTTAGCTGATATCAGAGACACAACAACTGTGACAGAGGACGTGAAGGAGAGAGGTAAGACAGCAGGGTCAATAGAATAAGTATCTATTTATTACACTGATGATATGTGATTGTGCATGTACACGCACACACACACAAACACAAAAAAGTGCTGTACTTGTACGCTTGTTGCACAAGCAAAGTCTGGCCTTTGACAGACTTCAAAAGACAATTTATCTTCTTTAAAATTAATGCTTTTGCTGTGTTAAGATTGAACACACATAATGCTATCTTTAAATTTCAATTCAATTCTGTTCTTTCAGATGACACCAAAGTCAAGAACAATGTAACAATTCTTAAGACCCTTAGTATTGAGGAGATAGGTAAGACAGGAATCTCAGTAAAATAGTTTTGACTTTTAATATAGTTATGATACACGCATGCACACACACACACACACACACACACGCACACACACACCGCAGTCAGGTCGCTCCAACAAAGTCCGGTATTTAGCATACTTAAGAATATAATTTTTCAAAGTCAATTAAATCTTTGAATGTTCTCAACAAATTGTAATGCTGAATCCTATTTGAACATGCACAGATATAGAATGTTAGAATTTTATTTGATGTTATTTTTTCTTCAGCTGATATCAAAGATACAAAGAGTGTGTCAGATGCTGAGGGCATCAAAGATAAAGGTAAGACAGTAAGGTCAATTCAACAGGAATTCATTTAACACACTTAAAAATGTAAACTCATACAGATGGACTTTAGGGTGGAGACTTTCACGCACAAACTCTGAGTTTATATTCACTGTTCATTTATCTAAATCTTTCAATGTGTCTTTGACTATGTTAAACAACATATCAAATCCTTGTTGTGCACATGTATGGGATGTTTAATTTGTTTTTAATGTCTTTCTTCAGTCAATATCAAAGACACAACAACCGTAAGACAGCAGGATCAATAAAATAGAGATTTATTTATTACACTGATGGAATGTGATTGTGCACACACACACACTGATGAGTAAACACAGTATGGCCTTTATTCAAGTTTTACTCGTCCAATTTGTTTATTCTTAATAATTATGAGATTATTAATTGTAAATTTTTTCAGTACAGTTGCAAGCGTAAAATAATATGGTGCAATGACTGCTTATTGAAGGTTATACATTATTGCATATTAGTAAGTAATAATGTGTCATATATTTCAGCTTCCAAGAACAGTCAACCATCTAGGTGGAGAAGGTTCCTAAATCTTATCACATCTTGCTTCAGACGAAGATCAAGAACATAAATGGTTATTATTATTATTATTGATTTTGGTGTTGTTAAATAAATCTAATCACTCCCGATATTTAGGAATGAGAAAAATTTGACAGCATTTTAAAAAAGAACAGATTCATTATACAGTCACAAGGAAGTTCTTTTGTTTGTTTCTTTATTTTGATGGCATCATAACTAAGTAAACTTTCAGTTTTTAAGAGGTACACTATGTCAAACAGCTGGTAAAACCTGTACAGTAATTATATGATAGCAGCCGAGAGCTGCTGGTTGTAGAGTTACTGTCAACATCTTTTTACAGCTAATGTGTTTTAACTGAATTATATTTTAATATTTTCATCTTATTTTTCAGGGTCATCATTGCAGAACTATTGCTTCTGTAGCAGCCAGTTAAAAACTTCAAATGACATTCTCTTAATTTTACAATAAAATATTAATTTTGTGTAATCAAATGCGTTTTGTTTTTCTTTCTTTTCTTAATTGAGGGTAGCATTGGGGAGGGGTGATCACAGTTGACAGGAAATAAAGTCAATTAAAAAATCACAGTATGCAAAACTTAATGCATATCTCACTGACAATGCTAGTCGAAAATCATGAAGCACTAGGTATAATACTTCGTTTCATGAAGGGCAAAGAATAAAATGCCGTATTGACAAGTCACAGGAATGAGGTGCTTCACAGATCAAGCTAAAAAATATGGACATTTCATGCATCTCAGGGAAATAAAAAGTGGCTTTCAAGGGTAACAAAAATACCCAGTGGGAAACTTTTAATTAAAAAGTTTTAAAAAGCATAATATAATGATTCTTGTTTAAAGCATTTGAAATGTGGGTTAAGAAGGCAGCACTTGACTTGTATCTACAATAAATGAAATACGTCAACATTTGATTTCTGATTCAAGTTTATCTCCAATTTTTAAATTAAATTCTTTTTAAAAATTTCTTTTATTAAACTTAAGAAATAAACTATACTGAGATATATACAAAAACACTCATTCACATACCCTTCCAAAGGGCTGAATTACTTAAACTACACTTTCACTTTTATATTCAAGTATGTTCATCTTTGATTAAAACAGATAAGCTTAGCTTATAATAATATGTAAATAATTAGTACCAAATACACAAAGGATCCCATCCATTTGATGAGTATTTTCTTTATAATGTATATTGTATAACATAAAATTATATATCATGAAAGACAATGGAAAAAAACAATACTTCAGACTTTTAAATGCAGTTAACAATTTTTAAATAAATTTTCTCTCTGCAGCATATGAATTCCACTTTTAAGCCCAGTTCATGAATATTTTAATATCCAGGCCTAACCAACTACCAGACTCGGCACCTAAGGATCCTGACTTAACCGGTATATCGGACCACACTACCCGTTTTCAAGGTGCGTGTCAGATCGCATTTCGGAGTATCAGTCAGAACACCGACAGGATGAGCCCACGCTCGGCTGTCTCCTTGATTGGATAGTAAACGATTGTCGTATTAAATCGCTATATTAAAAACCGGGTGCATAAATTTGAAAGCCACCTAGATGAACCTTAGACTGGCATATTAATCTAATACAATGCAAAAAAGCCCTATCAAAAGTGGTTAAAGCATTCAAACCGAATGTCGTAAAGTCCCCATATACCCCCATAGAGACAATAAAATAGAGTACTCTAAAGTAAGAGTACAGTTTAAGGTTGTTCAGCCGAGCGTGGATGAGCCCGCAGTCGTCCTACAAAATTTGTTCTGGGGTATGATACTCCGAAATGCGATCTGACACACACCTTGAAAACGGGTAGTGTGGTCCGATATACCGGTTAATTCAGGATCCTTATGTGCCGAGTCTGGTAGTTGGGTAGGCCTGGTTATGATCATCCGTGTACTTGGGTTGATGCAGGAAATCCATGGTCTCATTTAAAAAATAATTTTATCGGCTATATTATGCTTTTAGAAAAAAAGCATTAGTTTTTATTCAATCAACAGTTAGTATTGGCATTGTGCTTCATAAGGGATGAGCAACAGTGTCAATATTAGCTGCTAATTGAAGAAAAGCATTCCTTTCTTCTTACTCACTGCATTGTTTTCAAACAGTGTCAGTACTGCGATACTTTGGACTAAAACTTCTTGTAGCTGTGAATGTCATTATCAAAAGGCAATCCATCGTAGTCAAAACAATAAATCATAAGTGCTATATTTCTGCCACAAAAGCGCGAATGGCATTTTATATTAAACAGCACCGATATACATGTGCTTGGTGCACGTTGTTATAGATCATGAAAGGGAGCTAATAAAAGTTGCTCTCTCTCTCTCTCTCTCTCTTTCTCTCTCTCACACACACACACACACACACACACATACACACACACATTGTCGGATGGGTCGGTAATGTGATAAATGTTTTCACTCTTTTTTGCACGCCTTGTAACAGAAAATTTTGTTAAAAGATAGAAACACATTAACAATGAATTGAGCAAATACCTGTTATCATATAAAAATGTTAAATAGTAACAAAATATTTTTATTTGCTGGGAGAACAAGTCCATAATATATACAAATGGAAGTATTCAGTGTCTTAAAGCATATTGCTAAGCTATGGCGTTCATTTCAGCTGCCACTTCTGAGAAGTATTCCATTAGATTGGTATGCGGAGAACGAGAGAAGGCAACAGAACATCGCGCGTGTTTGCAAAACGCATAAACGTGGTCCATGGGCAAAAAAGAGAGTGCAAATGAACAAAAGCGAATTTAATAATTTCTTTGTGGATGACATCCATAAGATCGTATACTGTGAGGTTCCAAAAGTCGGCTGCTCAAATTGGAAGCGCGTGTATCTGGTGCTTACTCACAACATGAAGCAAGACGAGGCGGAACGTACCAATCAAGTGTTCATACACTACAAATATGCCAACAACCTGGTTCGCCTGGTAAAATACACGTCAAAGGGCATCGAATATCGACTACAAAACTATCTTAAATTCATGTTTGTACGACACCCGCTAGAACGGATAGTATCCGGGTACAGAGACAAACTGGAGGACCCGGATGACATATATCAGAAAACGTTGGGGAAGTATTTGTTGAGGAAATATAGAAATATAACTACTGAAGACAACAATGCTGGAACAACTCCAACATTTTCTGAGCTCGTTCGGTACATTATATCCGCTAAAAAACTCGATGTGCATTTTAGAGAGTATGACCAGCTATGTCACCCGTGCGATATACCTTATGACGTCATAGGAAAATACGAAACGATAGACACCGATGCAGCAAATATCATTAAACTCATAGGAGCTTCGCAGGAAGTTTCTTTTCCGAAAAGCAATGGAGCTGGGCAAACACAAAAATTTGTAAATAAATATCTAATGCGACTGAACAATACCGAAAGATCACAGCTTTGGAATAGGTACCGATTTGACGGACGTCTTTTTAACTATGGATATGATTTTCATTGATCAATACAGTAAAAGAGATCATGAAAATTTAACGACAATCAAAAGGCGTTCGATCTTTTCATAACACGAAATGAATTTTCTTGGGAACTTCATCAATTTTCCCATAATTGACAAGGTATACGTTATCCACAGCCGGTGCAAAAATAAAGATCCAGAAAGGCGTTTTGAAGTTCTTTTCTTTAATTTTGGAGTCCTGAAACTTTATACATTTCCCTCCGAATAGCAATCTAATTTCCGTTATATGTGAATATCTAATTAATATACATGTATAAATGACTGAATAAACTTTTACCTTATTATCTTATCTTATGTACGGGATTGATACTAGCCAAGCCTCCCTAAACTCAAATTTCATATAACTTTTAAGCATTCATTACATCTTTGATATAGGCAATTGTATTAACCTGTATATACTGTCATAATGTGTAACTCAAATTATCTTCGCCAGGTTCTCTTTTTTTCAGTCCATTTATATGCATAGCACTTACATTGTAGTCCTCTCAGTTCACGAAAATAAAACATGACTTGGAATGATTAACAGAATCCTATTGAAAATTGAAATTAATTGGCGCCACTGTTTCTTTCATTAGAAATTCAAAGATGATTTGCAAAATTCTAACTGATATGAAATAGTCTCTTAAAATTGTGACGTGAGACATCACGTGGTATAGTCTCTCTGGCGTCATTTATTCGTTATTACACTGTACATACTTCGATGTGCTCTAATAGTTCAGCGCTGCGCGTTTGGCTGTATTGCTTCCAACACTTTGGACATCGAAGTAATCCACCGTTCTGTCTGGGTTCATTGTCCACAAACGATTCCGGAACGCCATTATGCTGGGAGAGGTTCATTTGGGGGTTATTTCCTTCCATAACAACGGTGACGTCACCACCACTGTTGAAAGAGTTTCCGTTGGTATTGTTTTGCAAGTTCAATTCGTCAATGTTCACCCCAGTGAGGCTATCAGTTTCAACGTTTTCAGTCAATGGACTGGCAGCAGGACCTCTGGCGGTGAGACCCACTCGCTGGGAAAGATACGGAAATGTTGACCCAAATAAACAATTCAGAAAATGAAAATATACTAGTTTTAGTTAAAGGAAGCCATTCGATTACCTTAATGAATGGGAAAAATGAAATGAAAATGGCTCAGTAATTTATCTCCCGTTTTTTTTTCTCCATACCCTGGACGCAAGAAGCCTGAAGTGTTTGAAATCTAATGAGAAAACCAGGTAATATGTCTGACTGTCTTGATACAAATACTGTTTTATGATATTTTCAGTGATTAAATTTTACACTCATCAATATACATGTAACATCGCTTTTTTCCCAAGCATGTTTTACTGACAGTAAATTAAATAAAGGACCGTAGCTTATATCAGTTTGTGATTATTGTAAGAAGGAGAGTTGGATTTCCAACTTTTTACTAGAAGTTCAGTGCACGTACAGTGCATGTAACTTTATCTTACCCTTGATCGACAATATTGCAATTGTTTCTGCAATTCGACAACTTTTGCCTGGGCAGCCTCTCTGTCGGCTCTCTCTGCCTCGAAGTCCTCTGTGCAGGCCCGGACTTGCATTTTCAATACCGCTAATTGGTCACTCTCCTCGGAGTGACCGGGATGACCAGGATGAGGTGGCCGTCTATGGGTCAGCGAAACCCTTTCACGGAGTTGTTCGGAGAGACGCTGGACTTCTTCGTTCTTTTGTTGAAGTCTTTTTCTCATGATTAACATTTCGTCTTCCAGCTGTGTGTGCGAAAGAGAAAGAGAGAGAGAGAGAGTGTGAGAGTGAGAGCTCTGTGGCCGCCATTTAGAGCAGTGTTTAGAGATATCTTTTACAAAGGAAGGAGCATCAAACAATTTTGTTATGTACTCTAGCATATAACTGTACGGGGTGATGAGGGAAAGGTTAACAGGCCCAAAGAAACAAGATTTTTTTTTTTCGAGAAATGCTTATCAAGTGTTTTTATTATAATGTGCGCTGACCTTTTCCTTTGACGCCTGCGCCTCTTCCACCTTGCGCTTGGAGTTCAGTAAAACCTGATCAAACTCTCGCTGCTGCTCTTCGCTCAAAGCGGGGCGGGTGCGAAGTCGCTGTAATTCAGACTCTAGAATTGACACGTTCTGAATTGTTTGGTTTACAAACTGTTCCCGCTGGGAATTATAAATTTGCCATCTCTTGTTAGCTTCCACTGCCTGTAAACGATATATGCACGTATTATTATATATTATAAATTAGTTCAATGATTTTAAAAAATGTTCATGTGATCATTCCATCTTTCGCTCGCTTGTGCTGCTATATTTCATGACTTACTCCTTTATCTCTTACTTGTGCTCTTTCTTGCAAATTTTATACTTGGAATAAATACGTTCGTTCTGTAGATAAATCGAAAACTGACAGCTGACATGATTTTATAAAACTAAATACAGTATATTGTCGCACATGTAGGACATCAAATATTTGGAATGTAAAAAACTATACATACGTCATTCAATTTCTGTCGTAGTCGAATAACTTCAGCGGTGGCTTCGGGACAGATCTAAAAAAGTATGGAATCTAATAAGTGACGGTTTCACTACTAATACTGATAATGACACTGATAAATTTATCGCAGGATAAAAAAATTATAAAACAAACCTACTTTGTAAAGTACTCAGAACGTTTTTAGAAAGAACTGAACAATTGCAAAGGATGATAACATGAACATAAATTTGCTAAAAACTTACTTCTGAACTGTTGATTTTACATTGCAATGACTGGCACTGCTGAATTGTCTCCGACAGACTAGTCCTCAAGCGTTCGACTTCTTCAGATGATATGTGCACCGATTTACTTTTTTCTTTTAAGAGTTTCTGGAGTCGGGATATTTCTTGCAGCTTTTCGTCTTCTGTTGTAGAATACAGGCGCCGATAGGAAGACACAAGGTGTTCTAACTTTTGGGTCCGTTGCTGAGACAGGGAAAGAATAAGACGAATTAAGTATAGCATACTGGTAGGTATTTGCTTCTCTCTCTCTCTTTCTCTCTCTTTCTCTCTCTCTCTCACACACACACACACACGCATGCGCGCGCGCCATCTGGGAAAATAAATAATAATAAATAATAAAAAAAAAGCATGAACAAGACCATAAGTAGTGAAAGTGCTTTTTTTAGGGGGAGCTGTTGATGGCCTACAATATACATGTACACGCAAAGAGGGTTTCTTTACTGCTTGTGGTGCTCATCCATATGCTGACTGAAGGAGAAAAGATCCCTTGACGGACTGGGGAGGGGGGAGAGGATATTTCGTACAGACCACTACAAATAATCTTTTTCATTACTCTCCCGTGGTCTACTACCCGGATAAGTCACGTTCTAAATATGAAGAAAGGCCGTGAATAGATGCCATGTCCACATATGATCAAGTTTTATCGCACTGCCTATTTACCTGGTAAATCCTCAAAGTCATGTGAGTAATGTGTTTGTGAGTCATACAGTGTACAACTTCCCATGTGATTGAAAGGGCATAGACATAACGTTGAAAGAGGAAGTAAATATTGTTGCCTGGCCCAATTGAACAGAGTACGACAATTCACTGCAGTATCTGTGCCTGATTAATCCATCGCCGATTTTGATTGCTATTTGGAGGGCCACCCCTATTGACATTGCGGTTTTCAAAGTAGTTATAGTAATTATAGAGCTAGTATGGTTTTTCAAGCAGCTGCGTGGCGACCGATTTAAATTTGTGACAACCATTTTGGCAAGAGCAAGCATTTTACGCGTTTGCAAATGGAAAATTACTAAAGTATAATGGCTATTTATAATCAATAAAACACACTGACTACATCCTAGTTACTGTTACCGAAAAATCAAAATGGCCACCAAAACAAGTGTAGAGGAGTATAGCAAAATCACTTTATACTACAGTAGTATCTGGTATAATAAGTCTAATTAACACCATTTTCTTCTTTAGTTTTTATGTTCATTGTGATTCTTTCGTTAGCCATTATCCTAAAATACCACTATCTGCTTATTTGACATTCAACTAATGCTTGGTGAGGGCGAAAGCCCTACCAGACGTCAAGTTGCCACTCCCATGGGTTCTTTAGTTGAGCCATACTGTATTACTTTCTGTAATTATTTGAAAAAGAATTGCATTCCTTTGGGTTAGAAAAGTCAACTTAGCTTGGTTTTACAAACACTGGGGACATTCAGCACTTTTTATAACCCAAAATGGTCGCCATATTGTAACGTAAAATAGCATAAACATTCATAGCGATTAAAATCAAACTATATATATATATATATATATATATATATATATATATATATATATATATATATATATATATTGTGTGTGTGTCTATTTGCATTTTATGAATACAGAGGGTATATTGAGATTTGTTTTACATCTCTGTCAATCATACTAATAAAAATAACGAATTGGCTGCCAAAAATGGTATGGAAAAGGCAGGATAAGAGATGTTAAAATAATCTTTTTTTTAATTGAAAAGACCTTGAATGAATGGAATGTGCAATTATTTCAATAAAACAATACGCATGTTTCAAAGCAGGCAACAAAATAACAAGATTGGTTAGCTAAATGACACAAAATGGAAAAGAAATATGTGCATCAAAGATCTTCTACGGTTAACCAGTCAGTCATATCTGACACTTCAGATGTTAGCCCTTTATTTTGAGTGCAAGTTAATTGTCTAAATGAATATGAGTTGGATAAAAATTAATTCCTACCTTAAGCTCTTTCAGTTTTCTGGAACAGTTAAGGTCGCAACAGTCCACAGAATTTTCTGTGGAGGCTAGTGACAGTTCAGAAAACCCTGCACTATTTTCAGAGTTCTCAAATCCGTTGGGCAGATGTGGGGACAGCAGACTGTCGTCCAGAGTTTCCCCTCCTGCAAGCTGGGATGTCATCAAGGCGCTTTCTACTGGTACCGTAAGGCCGGGGTATAAGCAGTTTCCCGGGGCGGTAGCGTAGACGCCCTCTTGAAACCCACTTTGACCTTGGGAAGATGTGGCGTAGTTTCTACTGCCTAGCCCTGCTGTAACAAGATTTATATCCTTCTCAAGATTTCTTCGTCTTCGCGATGCTCCTGTCTGAACGGAGAATTCTGGTGTGGCCGCCTTGTTGACTGCGGAGGACAAAGGTATTTCAACGTAAACGGAATTATTCTCTTTCTCGGTGTTTAGGTAGTGTTGTGTTCCATTACTGAGGCAAATCTGGTGCTCATCGGACATCTTCAAACTCGACCAAAAAGCACAACAGAAAATGAAACCCTGTAATGTCTGGCTTGAATAAGTAAAGTGCAGTGTCCGAGACGCAAATATCATTCCTTGGACCAACTGCGTGTTTTCCTGTTAAGTGATCAGAAAATCTGAAAAAATGAGGAAAATACGAAAATCTAGATGCTGAAGCACTCTGGCCTTCGTGTGATATAAAATACACATTGAATCTTACGTGTGTCATTTATACTACTTTAATAAACTAATGTTGTGGGTTGCGAAAGTAGAAGTTGCTCTATATGCTTGTATCATTGTCATAAACTCAATGAATTTCCTTAGGCAACATACTGGTACATTTGACTAAATATCCGGTTGACGTAAACTTATCAAACTCAATCCTGACCATCAGAGATAACAAGCACCGGAACGCAGCAGGTGGCAATGACTGACACCACACGAGACTAGGGCGAGAATCCGCGAGAAGTGCGGCTAACTAAAAAAACGATAAGGGTGTATTTTCATAGGCCAAGAAATTGACTTCGGAAAGTACATGTTATAAAGGCGACAAGCAAAACAAAGGAAATTGGAACTGTTGCGTAATATATTGCTTTGGTAAAACTTTAGAGAAAAAAGGCCAAAATATCCGTGGCTCACTACTTTCAGCTTTCCTGAACCCCAGATGCATTGCCTGCTTGCCTCACCAAATGAAAAGAAAAAAGTCACAGTCAGTTAGACTACTACTTTTTTTAAAAGAATTATAGAGATTGTCAGAAGACTTTTTGGTAAAGGTCATTATAAGTCTGATGATGATGATAAGTGTCTTATATAAAATGCAATCGATATACAATATGTGGTAAATGTCACGTTTAGATAGAATTGAAAAAAAAAAGAACGGAGAAAGTCTTTAGATACAAGAAATGGATTTGCGCTTGTTTCAATTTGATCGTTTGATTTTTTCAGTCGGTTAATGGTTCTAAAAGACAAAATCGCGTAGAGCAAGACGGGGGCTTCTCCCAGAAAGAAGAATGGTGATCAAGAATTTTACTTACACGATGTCGGGGAGTTTTACAGTGTCTAACCAGTGATTTGTATCCGAATGTATTCAAACCTTTCTTGAATTAAAGATATAATACGGTCAAAAACTATTCTTTTTTGTCAATGGCGCATAGCTTGTTTCTAGCTCAATTCGTTTACATGTGCTTATTAATGTCAACACAGAACCTTAATAAAATCGTTGATCTTGTTATTGTCTTTATCACAACGCGCAATGTAAAATCGGAAATAACGTACACGAAGTGAGCGCTTCATCCTCTAATGTATGTGTACCGTGTCTGAGTTTATATTAAAATATTTTATGTTTGTTTGAGTGTACCGAATTAGAACATAAGTAAATGCGTGATAAGTACGGAGAAAAAGAATATAAATACTTCTGAATTGGTATGAAAAGCCAGACGTTGAATTAACGCTAGAAAGCTCCTACTCGTCATCGCTATCACTGAAAATGTGAGTTGCTTTGTCTGTTACTTTTTTTTCTAGTTAGAATAATAAATAACAGCCAGTTTTCTGACAGTTCCACCATCCAAAACAAATGTCAAAATAACATCAGTTAATTTATGTCTTTCGCTGGAAACTCCCATTGGCACCTGTGACATTTCTTTTACAGGGTTAGATAGAGAAGGGCCAACGCTCTTCAAAGACCCGTCTTTGCACCGGGAAAGTGGCAGTATTACTTCATGGTGTTTTTTTTTAATATAATCGCTTGTCGCTAGCAACATAAGAAGGGCAAAAGACAACACGGTTAGGAACCATCACAATTTTGGTGGCAACTAATTTTAAAGTCCTGTCCTACCTCTCTAGCGTTGACAGAGTCCCTGTCCACTGTCCTTAAATGACCAGCGGTGCCATGAATCGATATACCTCTACCTCGACTGTATTACAGCACATTCATTTACATCGGTGCTACTTAACATTTTCGATATGTTGCGCACAAAATCATATCAAAAATGACACCCAACTAATCCCCGACCTATGTATCATGTTCAAAGGACGCTCGAATCTCTATAAACTGATACTATATTAGTGATAGTTGTGTCGTCCCTTGTTAACTTACCCCTCTGTATCCCAGCCTGTAAATTATGTGGCCTCTTGCTCAACCAGGAAGTAGAATTAGCAGAAATTGATAAGCTGGGGTTTTCACATACCGTACGTGTGAGGTTGTGATAATAAATACTAGTAACATTGGGGTTTTTCTTGAATTGAACGATTTTAAAATATGGTTAAATAGTCAAACCACAAAAATGTTTTGATGTTTTGTTTTAAAATGTTAAAACAGATTAACAGTGCAGGTCGCGTCAAAAATTTTAATTTACCTTAAGTGGACCCCATCGGTGTATAGGCCTTTTGTTGAATATTGCAGACTAGAAGTAAGCTGCAATCATAACTGCGTGGTTATAGTGGAACAAACTTCCTTTGTTACCTTAACATGGAGGCTAAATGCAAGACAGCTTTGGTCTAATCTAAAGTGAAGCCATTTATGTTGGATTGATTCGAACATGTGCTGCAAGTAGACTCAAAATCATTTTAAAGTGAGCACATCTCACGCACAATATTATAATTTTATGATCAAATTCATCGTTAGTGAAATAATTGAAGAAAATAAATTTCTTAGCAACGATACGCTTACTACTAGACGTCGATCCAAGGCAAGCTTATCCGACACTTTTCCTTTCACTTTGATGAAAAGACAAATGTAATCCTTCTAAAAATAATCTAGAAAGAATCAGCAATATGTATTTTTTGTCCATTAATTTTTTTTTTTTTTTTTTGTACTCATGAAGCATAACATTCGCTGTCCGCAGGGACACTGGGTGCTTCCTAAGCTATTGAGGTACCACATTTAAAAAGTACACTGAGCGATCTTTTCATGAATGTGATCTATGCATTCAACTACCCTCTGGTGTCAGGGCTCCACTTAAATACTATACAAACTGTGGGGTTTTCAACATTTTTGTAACAGACTACTAGCGCACCCTGGCGCACCACAGTTATCCTCGCGTAGTAAGGGGAGACCGGGGCTAGTTGGACCCCGGGGTAAGTTGGCCCCCCATCAAGTCTCTTTAATAAAGTTACTTTAGATGCTAAATTATTTCATTTGGACTCACTGCCGACGCTTTCTTAGCACTATTGGATACGGTCACTTTACAAAATGATGTGATCAATTCGAATTCTTTTACCCCATAGTTACTTTGTCATAAATTGATGGGGGGTCCAACTTACCCCGGGGTCCAACTAGCCCCGGTCTTCCCTACTTACATTAACGTAATTAATCATGCAAGCGTTTATCCTATCCACCCTCCTAAGGAAAATCCTGTATCCGCATACCGGTATGCGTTCAGCGAAGAAAAAATCCAGTTTCCTCCAATCCTACAGGAACCTACTTCAACAGTTGAAGAACTGCAATGTGTGTCCGCTTAAAAATCAAGTCCTGAAAAAGATCGTGGTACATGCATTTGCCTAAAACTTTATACTACCTGTTAAAAAAAAACTAGCATATGAGCATTAACCGGATCCTAACCTTTGAACTCTTCCTGTCCAGGCAAAAAAGTGCTTCTCTGGCCCTTGAATTTTTCGATGTCTTGTAGTTCGGTTTCCCAGACGAATTAATCAGCATGCTTCATGATACAAGAAAATTTAAGATATAAAGAAAAAAGTCGACACTGAATTAAACCTCATATAAAATTAATAATTTCAAAATAATGCATGGTTTCTGTTCATTTTAAAGTAGGTACATGCATTGCACCTGAATGTGCAATGGTCGCCTTGGTCAAGACTTACACAGCCGTTTGGATTCGTGTCGAGAAATTCACCGGTTTCACAGAAAAGTAAACTAAAAAAACATATCAGCAACTTTTTATGCTTTACTGCTAGTGCAGGTATTTTACCCATAAATATCACACACCTTATACAATGTAGTGCTACATGTACCAGGTTGATATGCGAGTTTACCTTTACAGACCTATATATACAGGTATGTGTTTACCTTTAACAATACACGCAGCTCAAAGCGTGCGAGTGTCCCAATATGCTGTCGCTATGTTCATCTACATGTACGGTACTATTGCCACTGCGTGTGATACATGTAACTACCAACAATACAGATTTAAATCCTTTTGACGCTTACAATTACAACAATACTTGTAAAGTAGGCCTACAAAGGGCTCCAGTTCAGCAGAGGCCACGTCAGGAAATTTTCACAGCGTGATATCTGTATATTTTGATCACTACTTTATGAATCGGTATTTCCAATCTAAAAATAGAACAAAGCAGGTGACTGCTGTCACACGAGAAGTGTGCTTTATCACGTCAGCCATTTGGCCTTGCCCTGCGTAAGAGGTCTCTTTGGCATAGTTATATTTGGCAATGTGATGATGAAACGAACTTGAATACCTCGATTCTCGGGGTGTTGAATCCATCTAAGTGCGCGTTATATGTATACAGGTATATTAGCTAGGTTGTCTTTCCGACAAGCGGTTCTTGAACACATAACTTTAAAAGTATCCTTTAAGTTTTTATGTTATAACTTTTAGCTAGCATTTATACTTTTGGAGATATAAACTGAGAGTAGTACATGTAGGTGAGGTATTTGAAAAATAAATATAGGAATTAAATTTAAGACAAGAATAGGGGTTTGTTGCAATAAAAAGAAAGCTCTAGAAGAAAAACTGGCCCAAGCTAGACTAATTCTTGTAATTGGCTCAGAAAAAAATCAGTCAAGTGTAATGTCACGTATGTTTTATTAAGAAAAAGTCACGCTTCGCGTTTCAGGCAAATGCTACTTAAATCAATACTTCTTAATGTACTACTTTTTTTCAAGTTTATTTTCGACACTAATAAAAAATCAACACATATATACTACACACACGCACACACACACACACACACACACACACACACACAGATTTTTACTTAGAGCGGTGAAAGGAGCCCCATTACAATCTATTACAGTCAAAATCTCTATTATCTGTAAAACCACCAGGAGCTACGAAAGATTATTACCCCCCTAGCTTCTGGAGGGGGCGGTACAGAGCTGATTATATTGAGTGCACTTTTAAGCCAGAATCTATCCGGAGATAGATCGATCCCTCTGGACTGATAACTTTTAATCTGAACACAGCCTCAGTTTTCCTTTTATTTTATGCCTGTTTATTATCAATGACTCAGTTAGCTATTTGATATCAGTATTGCACTTATGCCATATTCAATTAACATTACTTTCAACTATCTAATAACAACCTTATTTTCACTTTCTATGAATGGTTTTGTCAATTACGTGTTTCCGCTTTAAAAAACTTCCTTTCGTATGTATATTTTATTAACATGATTTCACGTAAATTCGCTTGCAAACGTCCATTTTTCATAAACTTTTACAACAACAACAACAACAACAACAACAACATAATAATAATAATAATAATAATAATAATAACAATGCATAGGATGTGTCTTTGATATGCTTTTGAATGATAGTTAAGAATCACCGAAAAAAAATCATTCAAGTCTTACTTTCTTTATATTTCGTCTTTATACATTGTACCCGTGTGTGCCTACATCTGTTTAATTATCTCACTTTTCACTTTATTATTATTTTTTATATTTTCGCGTTTTGCTGTAAAGTTAATCAAGAAGAACGCTATCTGTATCAAAGTAGAGCACCTTGTACTGTAATGTGTGCGCGCCTTTAAAGAAAAACAAGCCTTTCTGTTCAAAAATCAACTGACTGATTCAATAGAGTTTTACTCTTCTAAAAACAAAAAAAAAATCATGTCTTTGGTTTTCTTCAGAGCATGCACAAAAAGAAGTATGGGGAATGCACAAAATACGGACCGCAAACGAGGGTATTATGAAAAGAAAAACGTCTAAGTACATCACGTTGGATTATGACTTCGATCAAAATGAAAATTTTTTTATTACATCCCAATCACGAATTTTGGCGTTACCGGTGAAGAAAACGTTTACAGCTTGGCCTTTAATTCATCCATGGCATGGTGTTTTAGCTCCCTGCGGAGAATTTTTCCGCTCTGAGACTTTGGAATACGATCTATGAACACGACACCTCCACGAAGCTTTTTATATGGTGCTACCCTTTCTGTAATATGAAAAATCAAACTGTTATTTGGATTTATACACATTACATGTAAAGGCTGTAAAGATGATTTTTTATGGTGACTATCCCTTGATTAATACAATTCCAGTACCGGTATATGTTCTTACTCAAATCAACCTGTAATTTCATAAATCAGCAAAATCATAAATTTATATATTAACTTATTCAGATCTTCACAAATAACCGCACTGAACAATAAAATATCCCTCTTCACTTTGTTACAAAAAAGACTCTCACTATGTCCACGAGCGAGTGATAAGCGAAAAAGACTCACCGCTAACAAATTTCTCTATGTCGTCTACGGTGACGCTCGACCCAGGCACGGGCACTACGTAGGCCCTAGGGATCTCCCCTGCTGCCTGATCTGGCAACCCAATGACCGCGGTATCGGTCACAGCTGGGTGAGAGAGCAACACGTTCTCCAGTTCGGCTGGAGGAACCTGAAAGAAAGAAAGAAAAAAAGAAAGAAAGATAAAAAAGCAATACAAGCACACAGGAAATTTTGAACTTGTCAAATGTCCTTGCTGCGTTAGTTATACTAGAATACACAAAGACTACGACTGATAGATTACGTTGGGTGTCCTATATTCACTCGCCCAGAAAGCTCGGAAACATCGTTATTTTTAATAATTATAAAATAAATGTATAAGCTAAGGTAAATATTTTTAACTTTTTGGTCCAGTTTAGATTACCGGGACCATTGGCTCGACTACGAATAAAACAAACACGATATTCTCTTTTACAATAGGAGGCTGTTTGTCCATGTCAAAACAACACCCTTCACTACCACCCTTTTCGTGCAGCGTCAATGTAACCTCAGCATGCTTTGTGTACTTTGTACTTATGGCTGCGGCATCGGTCACTTTATCACTTAAACCAACGCAGGTAGACTTAGCTTGGAAACGTTACTACACAACAGAAAGGTAAGTACGTTTGTTACAATACCTGAAAACCCTTATACTTGATGAGTTCTTTCACCCTATCCACGAGCCAGAAATGTTGATCCTCGTCGTATCTGCCGACGTCACCTACAGAATAATGGTACTGTGTGGTTAGTGAGAGGACAGAACGTATGTGGGACAAATGTAAAAGTCAATAAGAATGTTTTTTTAATTTTACATGTGTTACACAAATGGAAATTCCAAATACTATGATAGATTCTTCGATCGGCATGCAGCTACATGTAAAACTTTTATAAAATCTCGTGTTCAGACTAAAGAGGGGGGAGCTACCGGTACATCAACTCCTTGCATCAAATGAATACGGTGTTTTGACAGACAGCGAGGTAGAATTAACTCTGATCGTAGTTTCCGAATGTGAATTGCAAAAACTCTATCATAGAGACTGGCGTAAATTAGTATCCGAAAATAATCGAATTTAATCATCACTGTTAATGAGTAAAAATTAATTTCATTTTCATTTTATTAAATTTTTTAACCCTACGGCTCCCCGGAATAATGCATGTATATAATGTATCAGAATACGGCAGGATACGACACAAAATTAGATAACCAAAGGAAACTCTGAAATTAATTGTAATTTCAATTCGGAATTTACATGTACCTGAATTATTTAATCGTGTAACAATGTTGAAAGATGACAATTAGATCTGCTGTAGCATGTTTGAATTTTTAAAATAATTTTTTTCGTACATTTTTTCATATGTCTTCGTTATGTGAGTCTGCTGTAGCATGTTTGAATTTCATAGTAATTTTTTTCATATATTTCATTTTCATTTACGCACAGAGGGGCTGCTTACCGGTATGTAACCAGCCTTCATTGTCGATTGTGTTCTTGGTAGCTTCCGGGTTGTTCAGGTAACCCTTCATAATCTGTGGTCCACGAATACAGAGTTCACCTTCCTGGTTCACGCCCAGGGGCTGCCCCGTCTTCAGGTCGATTATCTGAAAATTGGTATGGCCGAAGTTGATATTCATTGAAATGTTGATATAGGATGTAATTTGTACCTGTAGAATTCGTCATTTATTTACATTTCTTCGTCATATCAGTCTTTATTTCTCATTTTCAATTGTAGTCTTTGTATTGTAGTAATTGTATTGTTGGAGTAAAGTCATTGTAAAGAATGCATTTGTACCGACATAAATAAATGATTAATAAAATAGAACATAGTTTCTACAGGGGGCTTTATGACTAAAGTACGATCTTCAAAAACCTACTTGAGCATGTTTCGTCCTATAGGGTTGTGATAAATAAGATGAAAGGTGATGCGGTTAATGTGTGCGTAAAAACATACTCTCTATGTCAGAACATGTAAAATGAGTGATTATTTGGCTGCTTGAGAGAGAGAGAGACCTATGCCATTTAAGGCATTAGGGTGAGAAAATGATCTGGGATAGGGGGTGGGGGTGAAGTGGGTGGGGTGGGCAAAGGGGGGGGGTATGATGGTGGCTGTGTTGAAGGCCTACAGCATACATACAGATATATTAATTATACCGCCTCTGGCCCTAACCTAATTTAAGAGAATTCGAGCGGACTGGGAGGAGGGAAAAGGCTAACAGTTTAAAAGGATGCGTGTAATTTTTTTTCAAAAATCCAGGAGAGGGGGGGGGGGCAATGTCCCTCCCCATCCTTTACACCCTACGACCCTGTGGCTTACTTTTGCCTCTGTGTTAGGTAGGAGTGTGCCGACAGAACCCACTTTCCACTCCAAGCCTGCCACAAGTGCTGCAACACTGCACTCCGTCAAGCCATAACCTTTAGTATACACGAAACAATCCACATTAGTTATGCGTGATAACAGACTTTTGCTAAAAAGTATGGAATATTTCAATAACTAAAGATATAATAATTTTTCTCCATTTTTCTCTGAGCAAATTTTTGAATTAAAAAAAAACATTGATGTTCTTGGCAAATTGCTTTTGAAAAAGATTAAGTTTCGAAAGTGGAATAAAATATTTTCTTAACTTTGTCCTTAATGAAAAAACATCATTGATTTTTTATTGAGATGCTCCATTCTTTTTAGCAAGAAGGTACTAAAATCTAATTGTTACCAGTGGTATAATAGCATAAGTAGTATAGAAACATCACATGACCTAAGATGCAGCTGAAATAGCTCTAATGTGTATTTTTCTATGATCACCTTGTCTAAGTAGTAAATTTGGAATCTTTTCTTGGACTTTCTCCGCCAAATTCGCGCTGAGGGCGGCTGCACCACTGCTTCCGGCCATGACGCTGGAGAGGTCGTATTTCTCCGTCAGGGGATGGTTCGCCAGGAATAACACCAAAGGCGGCACGAGGGGTAGGAATGTGACCTAACAAAAAAAGTTAATCCTTTGATCCCATGCAGTGACTTAGTTTTTTTTTGTTTGTATTATAAAATCTTCTGAAACAGGTCAAAGACATTATATGTTCAATTATAATTTCAAGCACAATTCACACGCAACTCTTAATCTATGGATTCTTATTTTGAATTTAAAATATTGATATTTGTTAACAATAAAGTAAACGAGACTGAGTCATTCAAGTTTATATATTGTCATCCAAAGGCCGTCGCTACTTTACAAACAGAAATCTATATAAAATGCAATTCATCGGCGGGGAGGAGTTGGGGGAAGGGGGGGCTGAGGATTCGAAAGATCCTCCCTTTTGGATGGAAAAGGTCTGCCCTAAATCAAATTATAAATGCAATGGGTTCTATACGAGTACAAATGTGTGTGTGTGTGTGTGTGAAGTGCATATATTTCTATTGTACGCTTTGAGTTTTGAAAAAATAAAAAATTGACCTAAGTTCCAGGTTCTGCTCCATTTTTCGGGTTTGATCAACTAAGGAGGTAAAAAACAGTACACCTTTACAAAAAAAGGAACCGTCCCTAAGATGACTAACTACAGGTCTGCGCTGCATATCTACCTTGTATTCCTGAATGCAACTGAGGTATAACTCGGGCTCGAAGCGAGGCAAGATGACCATGCACTGCCCAGTGTATAACCACATACACACGGAGTGGAGACCATATGTGTGGAATTGTGGCAATACGGACATCGATCTGTCTGATCCCGGGGGGCGGACTATGGCATTGCCTTGCATTCTGAAACGGGAATGTTTTTTTTTTCTCTTTCAGTTAAAAAAAAATAAGCCGATGAACTGTCTTATAAGACAGACTATATATGTAGTAATAAATCCATTGATGATATTAATAAAACGTGTTCATACATTAGCAAATGGGGGGCAAGTGTTTCAAAGTTTAACATAATGAAAGGTTTATTTCGACAGATTATCATTAGAAGATGAACCACAAAAGATGCCATGCAAAGCCGTTCGTGACGACTCAACATTTCCTCAAATGTGCACGTAGCAGGCTTGTTCCATGAGTGCCACTGATTTATTAAAATTAAAGTGTGGCATACAGAAGGAAGAAATAAACACTAAAACAGCACTGCTGTACGCAATATTAAGATTTCAGCCACGATCTCCGTTAAAAACAATGAGCTCTAGTAGTACTTACTGTAAAATATTAGCCACGACGCTGTAATGTGTCAACATCACTCCTTTGGGTAGCCCTGTAGTGCCGCTAGAGTACAGTATGGCACACACGTCTTCCATGGGATTGAAAGTTAGGTTGGTGGGGTACGCGTCCCCAGGGTCGTTCATCAACTCTGAGAACGAGCGACAGTTTGGCGCCTCCCCGATAACAAAGATTTCCTGAAACAAAGATTGAGAGACAAGTGATAAAAATACAAGTTTCTATTTGATAAAAACACGCAGTAGCCAGGTTTTATTAGTGACTAGAATTCCTTTAAACTATCCCAGTTCTTGTAAGATAATAGTAACTCGATTCCATGTGGCTAATATCCTCCCTCCATTCATCCATTCGTCTTTCTCTCTCTCAATAATAATAATAATAATAATAATAATAATAATAATAATAATAATAATAATAATAACTTATGTTCTTACTTTAACGTTCCCGCTGTGTCCGGCGGCGACCTGTGCATTCTTCACTAGGCTGGGTATGGTGAGAATGTACTTTGCTTGGGAATTCTTTAACTGTGTATCCAGTTCATCTGAAAAATAGAAAAAGAAACAGACTTGGCGAATTTGTAGAGTCAATACAACAGGTCCTGTAAATAATAGTTTTATTACTTCCTTAAGCCTGTATCAGATTATATTTGTCATTTGTAAGGAAATGAGTCAAATTAAAATTCGGATAGGGGGCGGTGATCGAAATAGAAAGACAAAAAAGAAGCAAAGTGGAGAATAATAGTCCATAGATGCGTGGGCTGGACTGAGGCTAGGAAACTTCCTTCTTCTCAAGTTGACTTCAATCAACAGTTAGTATTTAAAATTGTTCCTTCCCTCCAATATTTCGATTTCATAAAGGAATGAGGCTGTCCTGGTGAATCATCTTTTTAAAATAAAGTCTATTAAAGAGAAACGGAGGAAAAGCGCTGGAAGCATTACATACTCTCCTTGAAGACCAAGAAAATTGGCATTGGTGAATCACTGCATTATTCTTATAGCATAACACAACTGAACATTTTATGTAAAAATCTAATTAAATAATCAATACTATCACCATAAATCTTTTCTGAGCAACAATGTCAACAATTTATGTTAAAAGGCTAATTAAATTATCAATATTATCATCATAAATGCTTACACGATGTGTACACGGGGTTGACTGTGGTAAAGCTTCCCCCTGCACTGATCACGGCCAGGTAGGTTATAATGTACTCTGGGCAGTTAGGTGTATAAATACAAAACACGTCACCCTTCCTCAGCCCTGCCCTCGCCAGACCACTGGTCACTCGCCGGACATAGTCCTTGAGCTGTCTGTGCGTGATTGTCTTTTTGGCCGCTCCGTCAATCTGAAGATGTGTATGTGAGTATGAAATAAATAAATAAATAAATAAATAAATAAATAAATAAATAATGATGCTTAAGCGGCTCTGGTGTCAGGCACGCTTACTTAATCTGCTAGGGGTTAACTATCGTTTAGCAGTAAGCGTGCCAGGCATCTAAGCCGCTTAAGCTGAAAGCAATTGAGCGAGAAACCCCTCGGAGATGGGTCGATCCTGCTAGATCGATCTAGGTATGGGAAAGGGGTCTAATAAACGTGGGCCGAGAGCGACACGTGACTGCTGCTGTGTCAACCCCCTACCCCCCCCCC